CTCTACCCAGGGGGACAGCTTGAGGCTCTGTCTCCAAAAAAAAAAAGACTGCCACTTATTGGCAGAGTGACCTGGTATAAGTTATAGTAACCTTTTTATGCCTCTGAAAGGGGTGACTTTGCAAAAATTACAAAAATAATAGGAAAATACCTAATCTTATAATTTGCTAGTAACAGTTAAAGATCAATCCTAGAAATTCTCTTGTGGGGTACTTGTGGAGTTTTTTCCACATTGAGAAGCCCAGCAGACCAAAAGGAAATATACATTTTCTTTACGATCCCTAGACCAGGTGTCCTCAAACTACGGCCTGTGGGCCACATGCGGCCCGCCGAGGACATTTATCTGGCCCACCAGGTGTTTTTGCCACTGCTGCCTGTCCTGCTTAGCAGCTAACTCGTCCCGGGGCCCATAGTCTGGCCCTCCAACAGTCTGAGGGACAGTGAACTGGCCCCCTGTTTAAAAAGTTTGAGGACCCCTAATCTGCTTTGGGAATTTGTTCTCATGCCCCTAAGTGGTTCCTGAAAAGCTCCCCAACAGACACCAGTAAATGGGATCAGAAACACCTGTAAAGGCTCAGTGCCTGTGGCTCAAGTGGCTAAGGCGCCAGCCACATACACCTAAGGTGGCGGGTTCGAATCCAGCCCGGGCCCACCAAACAACAATGACGGCTGCAACCAAAAACATAGCCGGGCGTTGTGGCGGGCGCCTGTGGTCTCAGCTACTTGGAAGGCAGAGGCAGGAGACTTGCTTGAGCCCAGGAGTTGGAGATTGCTATGAGTGATGCCACGGCACTCTACCCAGGGGGATAGCTTGAGGCTCCGTCTAAAAAAAAAAAGAAACACCTGTAAAAAAATGTCTGTCTTCGGCTTGGAACCTGTAGCACAGTGGTTACGGCGCCGGCCACACACACCAAGGCTGGTGAGTTTGAGCTCCGGCCAGCTAAAAACAACAAATGACAACTGGAACAAAAAATAGTTGGGCATTGTGGTGGGGGCCTGTAGTCCCAGCTACTTGGGAGGCTGTGGCAAGAGAATCACTTAAGCCCAAGAGTTTAAGGTTGCTGTGAGCTGTGACACCATAGCACTCTACCCAGGGCGACATAGTGAGACTCTGTCTCCAAAAAGTAAATAAATAAATAAAAGTGTGTCTTCAACCTGGCCAGAAGAAAAGTGGATATAACATTTACATCCACAATACCTTGTGAATTTGGCTATAATTACTTTTTCTTTGTTCCCCTTAAATTCAATTAACTGCTTGACCTCAGCTGCAGGCATTCCTTTCTTTCTTTGGGATGCCACGCCATCTTCAAGCTCTTCTCTCTCTCTCTTCCCCCATTCTCTTCCCCTTCCTAAGACCCTCTTTCCTTCTAAAAGATAAAATAAAGTCTGTATTTTTATGTCCTAATCTTGGTCTAGAGCAGCGGTTCTCAACCTGTGGGTGGCAACCCCACGAGGAACTGTATTAAAGGGTTGTGGCATTAGGAAGGTTGAGAACCACTGGTCTAGAGAAATTCTCTCCTTGTCCTGCATGGAATGCCTACTGAGCTTTCCACGCTAACAGTCTGAATTCCTTCTCCCTACATTGGGGATAACAGTAGTAGCCACATCCCAGGGGTTCTGTGCATTCAGAGCCAACACACCAGTAAAGCTTGGAGCAGTACCTGACACAAGGTGACTGCCATGTAACTGTTTGCTATTATTTTCCTATTCTTTTTCTGAATTCTGAACACTCGATTATAAAATGCATGGATAGCAATGAGCCTTGTGATTTGAAACCTTTCCTGGATACTTCCTTTCCTTATTCACTTGTTGTATGCTTAGGATTTGTAAAACATTTATTGCTAGGAAAGTAAATCATTTGCCAAAATAAAATGAGCTAATAATCGCTCTTCCTGGTTTGTCCCTTGTGAATAAGGACTTCACAAAATGGAAATTTGGAAAAAGTGGCAGCTTATTTCTTTTTTAAAGCCTTTGTCAGGCAAAGAGAATGCTGTAAGACAAAGGGCAGTGGTGATAAAACCACAGGATTCCAGAGCAGCCTTCCATGGGAGATGGAGCCTGGGCCCTGCACTTTCCAGGGCTTCTGGACCATTCTGGGGCACTCCTGATGAAGCTTCTTGTCTTCTTGTCTAAACTCTGGTCTACTTTGTCCTGAGAGACCCAGAGAGTTGAACCTCTGGGGTTCCCCTACCCTGAGCTCAGCCTCTATTCTCACAAAGAGATATTCTGGTGTCAGGTGAGGTTGCTCTGAGAGTTAAGGAATAAACTCCCAGAGAAGAGAATCCTGCAGGTTGGAAAACTCATGTGGACAGTGCTCTGCAAATCACCATCAGTAATAAGATGGAACCTCTCTCTGACTCCTTGGTTCCCCACCGCCACTTGGATGCTTCTTTGATATACAATGGGAGCATAAAGCCCTTAAAGGACAGTCCAGGTCCTGAGACAGTTCACTTCTTCAGAGGAGGCACCTGTGAAGGTTGTCTGGGCTGCCTTGGCGAAGCCAGAGCACAGCACCAGCACCCCACTCATTCTACAGTCCACATGAATGGTGCCCCCTAGAGTTATGCAAGAGGCGCTTTAGCCTCTGGGAGGACATCCGTCAGCTGGGAGGGTCTGTTCCTATTTTTAAGAACATCTAGAAAGGAGAAGTAGGGTTTAAGTCTTCTGTTGTCTGTCAGCTCTAATCCTACTTCCTCTCCCTAATGAGGCCCGAATGACTCCCCGCTAGCGCTATACTTCCTACAACCCAGAACTCCAAACAGCTGCTCCAAAGCCAGACTCCTAAAGGAGGGAAATGGGGGGGAGTGTGATGGGGGAAAAAGATAAAAGGGTTTGAAAATGAAAAAGAGGCTAGAAGTATCACAGACAGGGAGGGAGGTGAGAACAGCAGTGTTGGAAGGGGCAGAGCAGCATCCAGAGCACTGGCTGGCTTGTCCCCCAAAGCCCCTTCAGTGTCCCTGGGAACTCTGGTGAGGGCTTGAGGGTAGTAAAAAAGACCTCTAATGAAGATAGAACCTCAGTGACCCCACAGCTTTACAGTGTAGGGATGAAAGGAAGCTGGCCCTTTCCACTGAAAATTTGCTGAGACAGCAACTCACAATTAAGGCAGATTAATAAGAGAAAGGATTTATCTACCGTGTGCACTGGGAGAAATCAGAGTGATAACCCAATTCTCCAGGGAGTTCAGATATCTTTATATAGGCCTTTTAGCGGAGAGGGGGAAATTGAGGAGTATAGGGCATAAAGAGTTGCTAGGGAGGAGAAATGGATGGGGGAGAATAGAGATTGACTGGTAGATTAACTGAGAGACAGGTGTCTATGATCCAGATAAATCTGGGCCAGGTCCACCTGCATTCCTGACCCTCATTCCTGAAATATTTTGAGATAACAGGAAGGGGGAGAGGTAGTCAATTGTTCCCTTTGATCCTCTGATTAGGAAGGCCTTCTCCAGTGTTTCCTGACCTTGAATGGCCTTCAAGTCAAATATTCTTTATACCAGGGGCTCATATTTGGGGGTGAAATTTCCTTAACTCCGTCAACATCTATAAGACAATGACATGCAACAAAATCTACTTTTGTGTTTTGACTCTGTTTCTGCTCTACTGAATCAGGAAAGAGCTCAAAGCATGGGAGTGAGAAGAAAAAGGAACAGCCAGGGAGGGGAGGTGACCTGTCCTGAGTCAGCAGATAAAATCTGAGTGTCAAGTGAATCTGCAAGGGCCTCTGGACTATGCTCCCTGACTGTAGGAGACCCCAGCACCCCATGCCTGAGAGGTGGCTGTCTAGCACTGCTGGTGACAGGCAGTTCACTACCATACAAGGCAAACTGATCTATCTATGTGCAGTTCATATTATCATAATATTTTTTTTTTTTTGAGACAGTCTCGAGCTGTTGCCCTAGAGTGCTATGGCGTCCATAGCTCAGAGCAACCTCCAACCCTTGGGCTCAAGCAATCCTCCTGCCTCAGTCTTTCTTTCTTTCTTTTTTTTTTTTATAGAGACAGAGTCTCACTTCATCACCCTTGGTAGAGCCTAATCCAGACTTCTAGGATTATAGGCATGAGCCACCATGCCCAGCCTTCTTTCAAGAATTGCCTCTTGGGCTTAGGCGATTCTTTTGCCTCAGCCTCTGAGTAGCTGGAACTACAAGCACCTGCCACAAGGCTTGGCTATTTTTTTTCTGTTGCAGTTTGGTCAGGGCTGGCTTAGAACCCGCCACCCTCGGTATATGGGGCCAGCACCCTACTCACTGAGCCACAGGCACCGCCTTCAGTCTTTCTATTAGACATGGGGGTCTAACTTTTACTCAGGCTGGTCTCGAACTCATAAGCTCAAGCAATCCACCCACCTCAGCCTCCCAGAGTGCTAGGATTACAGATGTGAGCCACTGTGCCCAGCCTATATCATCATCAATTTGTTCTTATACTGTGTAGCCTTCCAATGTCTAATCCTTAGCTCTACCTTCTGAAGCCACCCATAATAGGTATAAATAATCATTACTATGGTAGTCTTTCAAACATTTGTGGATTTTTTAACTTTTCTTTGTTTTGTTTTTGTTTTGAGATAAAAGTTTTATTCTGTTGCCCAGGCTAGATCTCTATGGCCTCAGCCTAGCTTACAGCAACCGCAAACTCCTGGGCTCAAGTGATTCTTCTGCCTCAGCCTTCAGAGTAGCTGTGTCTATAGGTATATGTTACCACCCTGGCTAGCTTTACTATTTTTAGTAGAGATGGGGTGTCACTCTTACTCAGGCTGGTCTTGATCTCCTGAGCTTAAGGGATCCTCCTGCCTTGGCTTTCCAGACTGCTAGGATTATAGGCATGAGCCACCATCCCCAGCCTTCTTTCAAATATTTGAACACAATAAACATATTCTCTATGACTTCTAGAGCAGACACTCTTTGTTCTGGCTTTGAACCTTTACATGTAATTGGTGATAATACAAAGAAAAGGATATAATCCAAAGAAATGTGACCAAAGATGGCAGTTTACTGGTGCTTACCGATTCAGAAAAGCATTTCCAAAGCGACTAAGCTTTCTAAATGGCTTTTTGGGGTCCACGACTAAAGCATTCCCTGGGGTGCTGCCCTCAGTCTCTCCGTACATCACAGCGATGAAGGAATCGGTGGTAGGCTCCGGACCAATCCTCATGCCTGGGAAATCCTGCTCCAGTAAGTATCTGAGAGAGGGGAAAAGAAGAAAAACTCAGTGTGTTGTCGTAAAGCAAGAGACCAGAATCTGCCTGGGCTTACCAGTTGTTTACATCCTCATTTAAAAACTTAGAAATATAACCACTAAGAAAAGCATAGCAATACTTATTTGCATTTCCACTGATGCAACAGAGCCACCCCAGAGGAGGTGTCAGCTGGCTCCTGGGCACTCTGGGAGCCCTGCTCAGGCTCTCTTCCCTTAGGAAAGCTTCCCGGGTCTGCATGCTGGGGATGCCTCTCCTGTAGTCCATCTCTATGGCCAGCATGGTACACACCGTGTGTACTGCACCTAACTGCAGCCCTACAGGTGTTTGAGGTGATTAGGGTGAGCTCATATCCCAACTCTGCCAGGGAGATGACCTCTTCCCTTATGAGCCTTAAAGGGGTTGAGGGAAGAAACCTGTATGACTTTCTCCAGCAGCTCATTCCTGCAACGAACAATCAGTCTGGTCCTGAACGATTTCTTTATTTCTAAAAAGTCTTGACTAATCACATGTAAGCTCAGAACCTGAAACTTTATTTCCAGGGATGGAGAGAAAGAACCAAACATGAAATGTCAAACACAATTTTGCCATCGTTACAAGAATGGGAAATTAAGCCATCATTAGATCTACATTTTCTATGCACATAAAATTGACATTGGTTAGCAATCTCAGCAGGCTAGGTGCTAAGTCTATAATTGACATCATTGTTAGTTTTAACTTCATGCAAAGTTTCTATATTTCTGTGAAGTTATGGAAGCCTTGAATAGACAGACCATTAAAACATGTCTTTTAAATTTAGAATAAATGTGAAAAAATCTGATAATGTCTTGTGGTATTTACTGAATGTTTGATATATGCTTGGTTTAGTACAAAGCCTTCTATATGCACTTTTGTTTCGTTTAATCTCACAATAGTCTGTGGTGAATGACAACAGTACCCTCATTTTGCAGGTGGGGAAACAAACTAAGAGAAGCTAAGAAACTTGCCCAAGGTCACACAGTAAGTGCTGAGTAGAGATGGAATGTAAGCAGTTAGACTCCCAAGCTCACACTGTCTCCAGAAATGTTTATACTTGGCCTTGGGGAGTAGTTTGCTCAGAGATGAAAAGCACAGGGGAAATTCAGGGCTTCCTCCTCAGGCATAAGGCACAATGACCTCCATTTCCTCTAATGTAAGGTTAAAGAGCTCTCCAAATTGTCCTCCTGTTCCGTCCTGTGATCTCCCTAATGATAAGGAGCCAGTTCTCCCCATTCTCCCTGGAGGAAAGTGGGACAAGGAGGTGCTGCTGTTTCAGAATGTGTTCATATTTAATTTTAAAAAATTTCCAAAACTTGGCTCAGTGCCTGTAGCTCAGTGGTTACGGAGCCAGGCACATACACTGAGGGTGGTGGGCTAAACAATGACAACTGCGACAAAAAATAGTTGGGCATTGTGCTGGGTGCCTGTAGTCCCAGTTACTTGGGAGGCTGAGGCAAGAGAATCACTTAAGCCCAAGAGTTTGAGATTACTGTGCGCTGTGACGCCAAGGCACTCTACCAAGGGCGACAAAGTGAAACTGTCTTAAAAAAAAAAAAAATTCCAGGCAGTGCCTGTGGCTCAAAGGAGTAGGCACTGGCCCCATATGCTGGAGGTGGCAGATTCTAACTCAGCCCTGGCCAAAAAACTGTTAAAAAAAAAAAATTCCCTTAGGAGCAGAAATGTTCACATTTATCAATTCTTATAGAATTCCACACAAATCTTAGAAATAATGGTAAAAGCTACTGTGAGAACCTCTCCCGTTTGTGACACTCCAATGTTTACAGCGTATCTAGACTGGATGTTACAAGCTCACACAAATGTGGAATTTAAATTTTACAGCCCTACTCTTATCCCACTGTCCAGTTTGACTTGTATGTCCACAGCCTGGATGAGGCTGCACCAGGAGGCCCATGGGAGAGACTAAAGAAAGGGAGATGGTCGGAGGAAGGGGCTAGGCTTCCTGCAGCACACACAGCTCCCACCCCACAAAAGGGTTAGGTCCAGCTGTTGGTTTGAAATTTGACAGGTACTTCCCTATAGAATCAGTGTTAACAGCCAGGGTTAGCTGGCTGAGACAGCCTACAAAAGGTCACACACACCAATAAAATGCAGGAACCAGGCAAGAACCCTTGTACCATGCCCACTGGGGGAAAGAGCAGTGTTGAGTTCCACATTGGATCACCTGCTGCAATATGGTCTCTTCTGGGGGACAGCCCTCCAGAAGTTTAACAATGAATTACACTTAAGATATGCTGCAAGTGTGAAATAGTCTGAAGGGAAAAGTGACCCCCCCTCCTCGCCCCCGCCAACTAAGACCTCAGTAAATCATTCAATCTCTGTGTCCCAGACACAGACTAGGAAGAATTACTGTATTATTAAGCTGGTTTACATTATTGATTTGTTCAGTGATACTTTCTCCTGCAGATAGTATAAAGTCAAAGTTCAATGTTCAATTGCACCATCAAAGAAATACCAATTAAAGACACTGCATATTAGCAAATTTAAAATAAAACACTTCATAATATTCGATGCTGGTGAGGGTCCTAAGAAATAAACACCCTTATGTGTGTTGTTGGAAGAATAAGTTTGCAGAACTTCACTGAAGAGCAATCTGATACTTTTGTGTTGAAAGACTTTAGAATGGGGAACCCCTATGGAGCTTGTCCCCAACACCCAGTGTGGGTGTTATTTCCTTGTCACTTCCTACAGGGTCTGACAGAACTTTAGAGCCCTACAATCTTGAGGAATCATTTGATTCGGCCCTTTATAGGATTAGAGCAGGAAAGTGACTTGTTGTTGGTCAAACTCACTAGTGACCACCCAGGACCTAGAACCTGGGGGCCCACCCTCTTGGCTCAAGGATTCTGTTCTCAGACCAGGCCCATGACTGTGGGGTCCCACACTGTCCCCAGCCCACTGGCACCCTAAGGAGGACCTGGCCAATACATGAATGGATATATGACATCCTAAGCTGATCACCCTGCAGAGCTTTTTCTTTGGGGAATTGCTGAAACTCAGGTTCCCTTACGCCACACTGCTGGGTAGGCAGGTACACATCAATGCAGTTAGGTACCCAGACACTGAGTACCTAACAGGGACAAAAGGGTGAAGGAAGTAATGAAATCCAAAAACAGCAAGCTGATAAGGAAGCATCTGAGAGGATGCTGAGGTTCGACATGCATGAACAGATTAACCACACTGCTGCACGGATGGGGCTGATCCACTAAGTTAGACTTTTCCTGCTATGGGATACCTCAGAGGCTTTTCCAAAGCCATGCATTCCAGGGACTCTATGCTGTTATATGCAATAATGAGATCTCAAAGGAGCAAGAGGCCACAGGAAGACTACAGAAAATAACCCAGCATACTTCAGAGCTGATGAGTGCTGGGCACAGGCATCCTGTGTGTTAGGACTTGATTTCTGTTCTTGGCTCCACCTCACTCCCCCCTTCCTGTGTTCCCAGAGAAGCCTGCCAATTCTAGCAGTGATTGCTCCAAGGTTCCAGGGCCAGCCATCAACATAAAAAGGTACAGACGTTTGGATTCCAAGCATGTGGAGGGGGTGGTGGGGTGGACGGGTGACCTGACATTGCCTTGTCCTGGTTCAATGAGGCCCCCACTTCAGCCTCATCCAAGTGGCTCTGGGCACACTGGCTGCTGCTGCTCAGCCTAAGCTCTAGGAGCTGTTTTGATCAAGAGTATGTGTGGCTTTCACTGCTTAGCCTAAAGAAGGCTTTTTTCTTTTAAATCTCATTTGTGACAAAGGGAAGAAAAAACTCTCAAGACAATGAAAAGTCCCTCAACATACCCAAGCACCAGATTCTCAAAGATGGGCTGAAGAATGAATTTATTTTGTATTTTTTAATTTTCTTAGAGACAGAGTCTCATTTTGTCACTCTTGGTAGAGTGCTGTGGCATCACAGCTCACAGCAACCTCCAGCTCTTGGGCTTAGGTGATTCTCTTGCCTCAGCCTCCTGAGTACTACAGGTGCCTGCCAG